AGGGGTGAGGGGTGAGGGGTGAGGGGTGAGGGGTGAGGGGTGAGGGGTTTTAGGGTTTTAGGGTTTTAGGGTTTTAGGGTTTTAGGGTTTTTAGGGTTTGGGGTGAGGGGTGATACCGGGGAAAGGCTGTCGTCGGCCACTCCCAAAACATGCAGCCAATGCCAATATACTTCCAACGCACCAACTGCTGCTGGAGGGGCGCAATGCGGGATGGGGGCTGTAGGTCTGGCTAGGGAAGGAAGGAGCGGGGGAAATCGTCTGTCCCCTTCTTCCCGCCCTTACGGCCCTTCCGGGGCGAACTTTGAAACAGCCGCCGATCAGGGGCTTCCATCATATGGCCCCCATCTTATGTACGGCATTTCATATACGGCATTTCAAATTCTCTTGGCCGCCAAAGCTATCTCTTGTCCTAGTCCCCCGCCCCCCCCCCCGGCCCGTTTTCCCGTTCCCCCCACATGAAAGGTAAGAAGTACCTCCACACGGCGGTTGTACGACTGCCCGCGGTTCACCCGCCTTTGCTGGCCCGCGTCATTCAGGAGGGCCTCCGGTGCGGGATGCTGCTCACGGACGAAGAAAAGGTGAGGGGGGCCAGGGAGGGGGAAGGGGGGGGCAGGGGGGAAAGACGAACCACGAACGGGTGAAGCTGCTGCCAAGGAAATAGATGGGCGGGCGGCCGGCGAAGGGGGAGGGCCAGGGGAAGGGGAAGGGGAAGGGGAAGGGAGGGACACACACACACGCCAGAACGATACGCGCGCACCATTTTTTGTGCAATTTCGTGTGCGGTCTTGTCGCGGCTTTTTTGTATCGGCCTCTGTGACACGTCGACCTAAATAGGAGTCTGTATACTGTGTCCGTGTGTGCGTGTGTTTGTAACGCTCATGCCGTACTTCCAGTCCGGTCCATTCCGCCTCGTCGGGGTCACGCAAGGTGAGGCGAGGCTGTTAAGCCATCTCAACCCGCTGTCCCGCGCTTGCGATCCACGCTTCGGCCCCTCTTGGCCATATCCCGTATACCTCCCCACCCCAACCAAAACACACACACGCCAGAACCGCAACCGCTTCCTGCCCGCCGACCTCCTGGTTTCGGAGCCCCTATACCGGGATGCCCTGGCCGCACTGGGTTCCGGAGCGGCTCCCCCCGACCGCATCGCCTGGCACTTGCTGCTACAGCCGACGCTGGGTACTAGCTGTAGCATGACTACGACAGCACCCGCCGCGCAGCAGCCACCACCTGCCGGTGCTACTGCCTCCACGGCAGCCTCGTCAGCGGCCGGCTCTTTCCTTAGCAGCAGCGGCGGCGGCGGCGGTGGCGGTCCACGGCCCTTGATGAGCGGCGCTCTGGGGCTACTGCTGGCTAAGCGGGGTTTCAGCAGCGCCTGTGCTACAACTACCGCTACCGCTACCGCTACTGCTACTGCTACTGCTACTGCTACAGTGCCCCCCGTGTTGGCGCTACCCTTGGACGTGGCGGGGTTGCCGGTAGCGACCACCGGGGTGTCGCTACTGCCGGGTGATTGGGGGCGGGGTCCAGGGTGGGCCGGTGTGTATTGGGGGGGGGGTTGAGAGAGGTGTTTGGGTCGCGCCTTTCGCGGTGTCGTGGTATAAACTTAGGGTTTTGGAAGGGGTGGGAAAGGGAGGGTCGGGGGAAGGGAGGTGAAGAGCTTGCATCTCGATCTGGATGACCTTCCGATAGTTCACAGGGTCCTCCCCCGCCGTGGTTAAGAGTTATTACTACCGCTTGAATGCTCTTCTCGATCCATCTCTCTCAGCCCCCCCAACAATACACACCGGGCCACCCTGGACACCGCCCCTAATCACT